TTCAGTTTGCAGACAACCATTGTGCGTGTCCTCGGCAGTTTTTTCCTGAGGCTTTTTAATATTGTCCATATCGATATCGGAATTATATCGTATCGACCAAAATTTAAAAATATATCGTGATATAAATTTTTGCCATATCGTCCAGGCCTAAGTACTCCTAGTGAACGTTAAGCAACCAGAGGAGGTGGGACCAAGATATCCGATTGGTTGGTCCCGCCTTCTCTAGTTGCTTTGACTTGAGTACTCCTAGTGAAGGTTAAGCAACTAGAGGAGGTGGGACCAAGATATTGGATTGGTTGATCCCGCCTTCTCTAGTTGCTTTGACTTGAGTACTCCTAGTGAAGGTTAAGCAACTAGAGGAGGCGGGACCAAGATATCCGATTGGTTGGTCCCGCCTTCTCTAGTTGCTTAACCTTCACTAGGAGTACTCAAGTCAGACACCTCCCTCCAGAGTTGTGCTACACTCCTGTTTCCCCCATAAAGCTTACTACCTTTATCTCACCCTTTATCCCTAAAGGTTAAACTGCAGGTCCCTTTCTAGAATTTGAACACTCTAACCAAAGATGGGTGGTATACCTCATGAACTGTTACACTGGCTTCCGTCACTGAGCTAAAAAGGGCCCCCCATGATGGGCTCCTTTCATCTGAGCGAGATGCTAAATGTCCAGCATAGGGACTCTAGCTTGCAGCTTGTTAAGTGTTTAAACTGCACTGCGATAAACATGATCACAACCCACAACAACACTGCATACACCATCGCTCACGCAGGCTCTAATTAAGTTTCTAATTAATGATTAATACATAGTTTGCAAAACAACGACACACCTCCGCATATCCCTGCTGGCCTCTTGTGACAAAACAACATTTTTTTAAGCATAAACCTGGCACTTTGAATTCCCGCAGCTCATTATGTTGCCTGGATACGCCCCTTAACAGAGTGTCACATCACCAAGATCACATTTCAGCTAATCGCCTTAGACCCCGGCCGGGCCGGTGACCGGTTTAGGGAGGGGAAGAGGCACGACTCAAGCACACCGCCCCCCCCCCCCCGGCAGGACCCGTCCACGTCACACAAAGACCCGTCTTGTGGCTCGCCCCAGGAAAACGATATGCCCATATAAAGCCAAACATACAACGGGGCAGTGTTGTATAACCACAATGAAACTGAACCCCTTCACATTTAGATTTGCCGTGACCTTGTCAAGCAACTCGCAGCCTCAGGTCCTATAAGATCCAGAACCCTAACATGATACTTTGACCAAAGTCTCATTACAAAGTTTAATTTGCTAATGTATATTTTTCCATTTCAAAGAGCGTGCCACTGATGTCGTAACTCTCTATTTTCAGCACAGAAGAACAAAAGAAGTGATATTTTTGAGACGAACCAGCTTGCTTTGCCTTCATTATTGTACACTATAGCATGACTAATCTTTAAGGAGGCCCACAACAATGAGTTTCAGAAGGCTTTTAATTTTTAATTTTTTTTTTTAAAATATAAGACACAGACATCCTGAATCCTCATCCCTGACCTTCCTTAATCCTTTATACCCTCAAGCACATGCACACACAGAGCCTGTACCAATGCCTGAGATACAGTTTAATGGGCTGACTCAAAGCCATCGACCCAGCCGGTTTCAAAAGCAGGCCGTCCACAAAGGTTCATGATGTCCGAGCCACTCTGGATAAGCACCAGTCAGGTGCACTAAGGACAGCATGCTAGTCCATCTCATTGCAATTTATCGCAAAGAACCATCTATTTCAGCTGAAATGCACATCCTTGACCCGTGAGAGCAAACCAACATGGAGGTGAGTGTTCAGTCCATGATGTAATAGGTTAAATTTGACCGGACCTTTATCAGAAATATGTGGCCTATGCAGATTCCCACAACCTTCGAGGTGTCAAAACTGGCACAGAGCAACAGTAACCCCCCCCCCCAGGCCAAAGCCATTGACTCAAATCACCAGAGAAACATAAACCAGGTCTCAGTAATTCTGGTGCTCTATGTTATGGAGTCTTTGGACTTGCATGAAGCTCCAAGCAAGACTATAACAGGCACAAACACTGCGATTTGACTTCAAAGAAATACAAGGTTAAGGCACCAAAGACGAAAATTATCTCAAAGTCGAGGGTTGTTTTGCTACCGGAACCCCAACAACTAAATTTAAATTCTGTTTTTCTCCATTGAGCTGTTTTTTTTTCCTCCCCACAGGAGACAGGCTAGCTATTATTAGGAGAGCAACAGCGATACTCATTGGGATTCATCTCTTGGGAGTTTTTCGGTAAGGTCGCGTAATCACAGACTATCACGCTAATTCCTGCTTGGTGGTCAAAGCAGACCTCCGTGTCGTGTCACTCTGATGGACAACTCGGCGAAAGTAGCTTTCCTGCAATCCCACAACATCCGTGGGCAAGCAAGCTAAATTCTAGCACCAGCAACAAGCGCAAACCACCGAAAGCCAACAGCATTTCCCATTTATACATTAACAAGCAAGACTACATTCATAATCCCAGTAAGCAGTAAGACAACTTCAGGACATGGTACACAGTAAGCACTCGGCCTACAGCTAACAAATCTAATTTGAAACACTTAAATCTGGCAGCTAATTTCCTAACAAACAGTTTTTCCCTTATTACATCACTTTTTATATTCATATGGAACTCCCGTCCTTTGTTAGATATAGGCGTCCCATAGTATGTCAGTCTTCACTGTTATTGTTAGGATCGGTTTCAGATGTCATAAGTCCCGCAGCTACGCAACCTCCCTCATATCTAGGAATGAAGATTCCGCAGTGTCTCGCAGTGAGAGATAATGGAATGCAGGATGATAATGGATTCTGGAATTTATAATAACAGGCATTCCGGAATGCGTCTCCACCTTAATTGGAAGGAGTACAGCTGTTCTGGTCTTCAGTGTGTGTGGAGGTTACAGGAAGGACCCTTGTTATTTTCTATCGTTTCTCTGTCTGGACTTTTATGTATTAAATTACTCTGTCATTTCTTATTTTAAAGTTAGTGATGACTGGTGAGGCACAATAAGCCTGAGGTAACATACTTACACATAAAACATTTGAGACCTTTCATATGCTATCTCGATTTTCACTGGTGGCACCTAATCTAATAGCTAGCAGGGTAAATTGATTTAAAAGTGCTGGAATCTTATTATGGGCAAGATGGCATTCAAGACAAAAGGTTTACGCCCTTCCCAGGAGCTGAAATCCGGGCAGGAGTTAACCGCCGATTCGAAAATTAAGCTTTCAATGCTGCATTCTAACTCAGGCTTGCGAGGGACGCCTACCTCTGACTGAGTGGAGTTACTGACGGCCTGCCTTTAGTCTCGCACCCCTGCCCTCTCGAACCCACATTGTGGATCAATATGCTCCGTGGGTGGCTGTCCTGGGCTTGAGGTGACAGTCTCCAAGCGGCTGTAAGGAAGGCAGCCTCACATGATGCAGCCGGCTGCAAGGTCTTCTGGGTACTGGAGCGTTCAGCACCGAAGGGCAGACAAGCACTGGCCACACTTTGCAGTCCCCCATGACTTGGGCAAGGCACTAAAGTAGCGTACTCCATCATGCGACTGGCCACTCTCCCCCCCTCCCACTGCTGTACCCGATTGCTCCGTGACGCACGGAAGAGGCCACTTCATGACAACCTGGCGGATAAAAGCACTCCTGAAGCTCTCCGAGTGCGAAATGACCACCGACGCTGGTCACTTCCTCAAAATCCTCTCGTTAAACTGATTCATAACATGGATTTCGACTTCCGCTTGAAAAATAGCCATTACGCACATGCTGGTGCTGGGAGAACTGTCCAATCAGCATAATTGACTCAGACTACTGGTTTTTGCAGTGTGTGAAGAAAATTAACCTTGAACATTACAGCAGTATTCACGTAGGTCGCAAACACCATTTGGAGACAACTTCATCTTCTTAACAGGTAAAATTAAAAAGCCAGCTTAAATCAGATACCCTTCCCCCCCCCCCCCCCCCCCCTCCCCCCCCATAACCCCCCCCCCCCCCCCCCCCCCCC